AAATCTTTCAAGTAGGGACGAGAAACAGGTACCAAAGCAAGCCGCAGGGAAAGAGGAGGACCCCAAGGTGAGAAAGGTGGACTCCCTCAAGGAAGCCACGACCGCAAGTCAGCATGATCAGAACAGGGGTGTTAAAAACAGGGCCAGCTTCGGAGCCATTCACTCACAGGAGAAGAATCATATTTCCAATTCCTTTTCCCCAGCAACTGAGATTTAAAGGTAGACTATGTCTGAACAGGGAGGCTCCATTATTGATTTTTTTGGGGGGGGGGATGATAAAACCAAGGGAGTCATGGGCTCCCGGATCTAACCCTCAAAAGTCCTACCTGGTCCAGCAATTTCCCCTTCAACGTGGCCAACCTGATGCCTCAGGGGTAGGCCTCAAAAGGAGATCTTATTTTTCTCCACCCATCCGTGTGCAAAGACCTAGACCTCCTTTTCCTGAACGTGACACCCTCCATGATCAGAGGCCAGCTTGAGCCTCTGCTAATCCGTCTTCTCTCCGCTGGCAGTCATCGCAACGTCTTGTGGTAAGTGAATTCATGAGGGTGAAGCTGTTCCTTATTCCCAGGTCCTTATTTGGGTGAAACATTTAAACACCGCTCCGCCGTTTGGCTGGGAGATGATTTGAATCCCAAATTAAGCTGATAACTGCATCACGGGCCTCTCTGAGAGGGGCTGGATCCCCATGATCCACCGGATCCCTTTTCGCTCTGCAGTTCTCAGATTATTATTATTATATTGCATATTGACATCATGAAAGATCAGGGGGAAAAAAACTCCTTTATAATATTTTTTTAAAAAAATATATACAAATATTTTCTAGCTAATCTAATCATTTTTGGGGAAAGACACCTGTTTGGGTAATGACCCCAAGTTATGTGCATAAATAAAAGTTTAACCCCCCTCACACCCAAAATATGCCATTTCAAAGCACACCACCATGCATCTAAGAAAGAGTTGTCATTTAAACTTGAAAGACAAGATTTCCCAGCCAAGACAATTCAGATGAGTCATAAACTTAATTTGGGGTTCAGGGGCATGCTATAAACTTCATCCCTTTTTCTTTCTTTCTCCTGAACGACCAAGCTGTACTTCCTATTTTTGCCCAAATAAGGAACTACAAACTGGGAAGAAAATAAAAAACAAGAATGGCCGGACATCTCATTGTTTCCATTCTAGTTCTGCAGTTCTAAGAGTATGATGATCGTGGCAAACCTCACAACTGTATTCTGTGAGTGCACAGAAATCCTTTTCATTCTGATTTCCCAGTATTCACCTAAATGAGCGGACATTTTGGGCTTTTTAGTTTATCTATCTATCTATCTATCTATCTATCTATTTATTGCATTTGTACCCCACCTATCTAATCGAATTACCACTGTAGGCAGGTTCTAGTAGCTTCTTCTCTCCATACCATGAATGATTTGGACGCTTCTAAATTGTGTCTCCCTTCCTCGTACCCTACCTATCTAATCGAATGACCACTGTAGGCGGGTTCTAGTAGCTTCTTCTCTCCCCCCCCCCCAATCGAATTACCACTGTAGGCAGGTTCTAGTAGCTTCTTCTCTCCATACCATGAATGATTTGGACGCTTCTAAATTGTGTCTCCCTTCCTCATGGCTCACCCTTCTCATATGGGGCTGCGGATCAAACGTCTTGATCAATTTGATCACTTGCTCCCGTCTCCACCTTTCTCGACTCCCTCCCACTTCCTCATTCTGAATTATTTTCACCCGGAAGAACCGGACCGGTTGGAAAACCAGACCTCCCCCCCCCAAGTAATCCTCCAGGCAGATGGTTCAGAAAGACATCAAGATTCATGGTCTTGGAAAACAAGGCGATGAGGCTGAAGAAGCTCAAAGCTTGCTGGACGAGACAGGTTAGGAAAAGTTGAAGTCGGCAGGAAAAGAGGACAGACAGATATGAGATGGATTGACTCATTAAATGAAACCACGAGCTTGAGTTTGCAAGAGCTGAGCAGGAGAACCTTCTGAAAGTTTGCCCTTTCATAAGGTCATAATGGGATGGAGGAAATTTGTGGTCACATAAGAACACCAGAAGGGAAGCAGATACCTCCCCTTGTCTCCAGCTCCTGGTGTTATCATCCACACAATTAATCAAAGCCAGGCCTGGAGCCAGAATGAAATGGATCGAGATAATCTGCCTGATCTGAACGCCACCGGAGCTTAGATGTTGCTGCCGACTTTTGCTGTTTCACCAAAGGCACCAGTTCCCAAATATCTTACCCTTTTGCAGCATCAATAACCAAGAATCCAGTGGTACCTGGAAGATTAATGCATTTGTTATCGTCTGAGCTCTTGTGATCTACATCTCACCTCATTGGTGTTTTTCAAAAAAAAAAAATCAATCAATCAATAAATCATCTTTTATAATCCCACCGTTTCTAGATCCTGGGAGCTGCGATAGCTCGTGACATAATTTTAAAAAACAAAACAGATCACAAGTAAAATCCCGATCGCTTATAATATTAAAGCACAAAGAGATGATTGCATGGACCCAGGAATGGAATTAAAAGCAGTTCCGAAGCCCGTTGTAGGACGAGAGGAGCAAAACACAACTTGGAGGAAGAGATAAAGAGAACGGTCAACAAATCCACAGATATAACAAACTGAGAAAGGTTGACTCAGGGCACAGAATCCAACTTTTAAGGTTGATTTGACCCGAAGAGACGTGATCAAGAGGTGATGGGTCAGCTGTCTTCAACTATCGGAAGGCTGATCATGTGTAGTTCCCAACCTTGGGGCCCCAGATGTTCTTGGACTAAAACTCCCAGAAGCCTTCACACTCCAGGCTAGCCTCCCTTTGTGCTGGGCACACTGGCTGTGTCCCCACCACTGTAGGGGTGGATTTTGGGATTTGTGATCCCCCAAAGTGACTTTTCCAAACTTTGTTATATCTCCTAGCAAAGGAGAGATTTTGTTATATCTCCTTGCAAAGCACCTTATTTTATTTTATCATTTTTATTAAAATGGCCCTTGCCACAATTAATAATGTTATTTTGATATTCTTGTGCTGTTGCTACTGTTACTCGTGCTGGTCTGATTTATTTATTTATTTATTTGATTTTTACCCCGCCCCTCTAGACCAGGGGGGGATCAGGTGGGCGTGGCCTGTGGGACCCGCCCAGGGGCGTGGCTATGCCATTTGCCCCGCCCCCAGCCACGCCAGAGGTGGGACGAGGAGGAGCGCATGTGCTCTATGTTTTCTTCTTTCTGCAACGAATGAACGTGGATTTTTGATTTTATGGGCATTCAGCCCTGGGCAAAAATCTGGCTAAATTCGGTGGATTTCTCTCTCTAAGCCTGAATGAGAAGGAAAAGCATAAAGGTCTGCTACTTTTTGCCAGGAAAGCTGGAAAAGTTACTGTAGTACGTCCTATACTCCCTACCCTATTTGCACCGCAGTTCTTTGATCCCTTTTTTTTTTAGACAGCACACGGGCATCCAAATTCTCGCTTGAAATATAATTATGGAGATAAATAAACATCAATTATTAAATTCGGTTCTGAGAACATCAACCCGGAAGCTGACCCTCCGGAAAAACGGAGGCGGCTGCTCTCTTTGATTCTTATCTCTACGGTCCGTAGGTTTCACGCCGCGGCCGCCCTTCCTCTCCGTGACGTCACGAGCGCCGCCTTGAACGCCCTGTCCCCCGTACGTGACGTGAAAGGGCGGCGCGGGAGGCGACGTCGTGCGACGGCGCATGCGCAGTGCGCGCCCCCACCGCCTCCCAGCCGCTGGGAGGCTTCGGTTCCCCCCCCTCCGTTCCCGGGGCGGCGA